ATTTGACTCTCAGTGGGCTACATGTGCATTATATCACAGAAGACATAACCACCTCTGTCAGAAACTCAGATCCTATATTTAAACATCCTGCTCATAGGGGCCACAGGTGACTCTAGAAGGGCTGTATTGCATATATATTATCATCATACATGTTTCGTGTCTTTAGGTCCCACAGGTCGGATGTACGCGCGGTGTTTGCATATATACAGAGTGGCCCAAAAAAATGAACACACGCCATTCTGCTGCCATTTTCTCTGATGTCTGTCATTTGCCATGGTGGTTATGGCATTCATTTGACAACCGCCATCTTTTATGAGAATGTCACTCTATACACCATGCATTACATTTCTATTCAACTTTATGGTTATATTGCAGATAGCCTCTGTAAAAATTGTGCATTCATTTTTTGGGGGCCATTTGTATTTATTACCATAACTGCATCTAGTTTATAGAGGCCACAGGGTGACTGTAGGAACAGTGTGTATGCCCTTCTGTTTATTATATCTTTATATAGATCGAAGTTAGACGCTTGGATTGCTGGGCATAAATAAGTATTTATTATCTTATGGTGTATCTACAGTGGCCACAGGGTGACTCTAGGAATAGTAAATATTTAATAATTCCATAGTACTGCCCAGTCTGAAGTGGAACTTGATATTTGCTGTGTTCTGCTTTTCNGTAAGTTCGAATACCCCTTGTGGCATGAATGCCTGTAATTGTAATTGTAGTTTATTTCGAGTTCCACATGAACCAATAAAACTCGGTACAAACCATAGGATATAGAACATGTCAAATATTAATTAAAATATGTCAAGATAAGCAGAAGAACATAAAAGTACCGTACAATCATAAGTACAGTTCAGGTATAAGTTGAGCTCAAGTAAATAATTAGAACATGTCAAAACTATAAAGCAATAAAATAAATGATATAAAAGACAATAAGTATTATTGTAAATACAATAAAGCTATTATACAGATAGATTATACAGATAATGGAGGCCTTGGTAGGAACAGAGTTTTTGGTTATAAATTGCATAGTAAAAGTCTTCAAAATATTGATTGATAACAAATTTGATGTGTGTATATTCTCTGTTTGTGTCGTTCTGTGTATAGGCAGTGGCCTTGCGGCAGGCTCATCCAATGTCCAAGGAGTCCTAGTGACTGTGTATAGATTAAGAAACTGAAAAACTGGTCAAGGTCCACAAGGGATGTAGAGCCATATGCAGATATCATGGTTATACCACCATATACAATATACTACCCACAGTTAATTTATTAGTCATGGCTAACAAAATTTCATTTATTAAATAGAGAGTGGTCTACTGCTATTTACTAGCAGAGAAACTGAAGAAATTGTACTTAAAATGTGTTCTTCATTAAAAGTAATATCACATTATATCATTCTTTTCTCACTAAGTTAAACCAGTGAAGTGACAAGCTATGGAGATAAGTGGTTTGATTCCTAAATGAATTTTTCTTTTCACCGCTTCATGTGTCCCACTCAACATCTGGATAGGCTGATGTCAGGGGTCTTTCCCTAAGGGTAGAGAAGGTGACCATTCTGGCATCCAGGTTAATAATACATGGAAATTGAATTCCATTTCTCTCGTATATCACAATGGCATGGTAGTTGAGCACAGTACAGTACAGTTCTTTATTTACATATAACTTACATCTTCTTGTGTATCACGTTATAGTTAACACTCAGATATATTGCTTTGAGCATTAGCAACATCAATATTTAATAACATTCTGAAAATTTTACAATGTTACAAAAAAGTACTTAGGGCCTATTTTGTATTATAAAATTAGCTACCTGAAGTGATTATATTAAAACAATATTACAGAAGATCATCTACAAGATACAATACATCGATTTTGAAGGTGATCTGTGTCACAGATATAGTCAATGAAATGCAAAATGTAAGGGCACACACCACTATATTATTCACAGTAAAGGGAGATGATGCCCATTTTAACTTTTTCCAGAATTTTAAATTAATTATTTCATATAGTTTTGATTTAAATAGCAAAGCTAATCAGGTATGAAATCATTTTAATCAAACAAAACAGGAGAAGGTATTTATTTACATATTTTGTGATGTTTTCAGTACCACAAACTATACAGTATTGAATGGTGGAATGATTAACATATTGAAAAGGCTGTGGAAGGAACCACTTGTTGCCTAATTTGATGTGGAATCATAGTATTTGCAGGGAACTGAGAAAAACAATGGAAAAATCTTAGGAGATCAAGTTTAAAAGCTGATAATTTAACTTAAGAAACTCCAAAATATTGAGCGGGGGTGCTGATTAGTCAACCATCATGTTTGGTGGACAAAGGTGTGATACACTTATAAGTGAGATTAAAAGCTTGGTTTTTCTTCAGCTTTGAGACCCATTGATCCCATAAATACCAACACTTAAGTCACTATTGGGCTGCGCCATAGGTCAAGTGGTTAGTCGCTGGCTTCCCACCTCATCGGACTGGGTTCGATCCCGGGGTCTGGTCAAGTGGGATTTGTGGTGGACAAAGTGGAGCTGGGGCAGGTTTTCTGCATGTACTTCTGTTTCCCCTGCCAATCTTCATTCCACCAATTGCTCCACAATCACCCTCACCTATCATCTGGGGCTGGTACAATAGGCCAGAAGTGGGCACAGTACAGGGGACTTAGTCCCACCCCACTAGCGATAAAAAAAGTCATTATTTAAAATTAAAGTTCCAACTTTGAAGAAAATATTCTCTACCTTATAAGATTAGTTGATTAATGATGTTCAGGATAAGAACTAGCGTTACTCCAAAAACAATAATTTTCGACATATTTCAGTTCTATTGAAGGGTAAGTGCAAATTGAAACATGTAACGCCCCATCCCCGCCTTCTGCTACTGATTTGGTTTATTTTAACATTATTTATGAAGCATCTGATAATACATAAAATTAAACTCCAAAGATTAAAAACACAGAATATTATTGTTAATGCTGCTTGCGGCATAATATTTACCATTCAAAATATACCATTACTGGACAGATCTAAAATAAGCATGAAAATGGACTGAGATACCTGAGTCAATACAGTAACTGGTTATGGATTGGGAAGATTCAGTTCCAGTGGGAAGAAAAGCATTTCATTTAAACACATCCAGACCATATCTAGAGCCCTGCCAGCCTCCTATTCAGTTGGTACCAGGGGCTCTGCCCATGTGGGTAAAGCTCCCAGATCATGAAGCTGACCACTCACCTCTAACTAGCTCTGAGATGCTCAGAGAGAGAGAGGAATTATTCTGTGTGTGTGTGTGCGTGCGCACGCGTGCACACACGCGCACATGAAGATCAGCGATAAGATTATACAGTTTGGAAGTGATACTCTAAATAGGCCCTAAGAACTTCCATCTTGGTTATGTAAAGTTACTGTAAAATTCACTTAACTTTCTGTCAGAGACATTCAAAATACATGTATGAGAGACATAATGACATTGCTTTACAATACCTTGCTCACTCAAGCAGAAATGTTTCCCTACAAACCTAACAGTGGACATGACCCAGCAGTTCGTCAAACATAATTGCCTGGAAGTGCGGCAGGACTTTCCTGAAAAGTTATGGTTGGAGCTGAGCGGTGGCTGCGCCCACAATTGTTGGCAATATTGCGGCCACAGGACGGAATACGAAGCATACTGGAACTGGCAGTAAGGCCTGGGAATACCTCCTGTAAAAAATTAAACATACTCTTGAAATTATTAAAAAAAGCATTGTCAATCATCATCATCATCGTCATCTTCATTACATTAAGGTTTAAAATGTGTATTTAGTTTTTAAACACTACTTAAGTGAACTACAAACTACAATGGGTAAAAATCCAGGTTCATATTTGAGAGATCCTGGATTGGCGTCTCAGTCTGGAGATGAACAATTGTAACTTATATTTTTTTTATGTTTTCGCTATCACTCCAACAATATTACTGGACTAAATAAACAACCATCAATGGGCTGGAAAGAGCTGCAGGTTCAAGCCACTAAACATAATAAATGACCCAGAACTATTTTCATTCAGTTTCTATCCTCACAAAATATTTTCCAGTGATTTATTGTAATTTAATCATCCAGCCTATTCCTTGGTTTCCAAATGCAAGGTTCTCATCACAATTGTTTAAGCATACTTCATACCATCTTCAAATAGGCCACAACTGCTTTTATGAACTCATCATTCTTAATCACACCACATAATCTATAAATTGATGAGGTATCATTACATAAACAATTCAAATGAAACAGTACACCTAAAGAGGTAATTATACAGTAAATTCAAATATTAAATCCACACACACAAGCACGTACACACATAAACCAATGTGCATGTGCCCACATATGCTGTATATTAGACAAATGTCCATCCATCTCTCTCTGTCCAACATTGTGCTGGTCATCTTGGTGATGGTGTTGCTGGTCACTGTGGTGATAGCCATGATGAAGTTAACGAGGATCACTGAGGTGGCTGTACTCATGATGATGGTGGTTGTGTCAGTGTTTTTCATAATGGTGGCTGTGGTGGTGGTTAATGGGATGGTAGACATCACAGTCATTTTCTCCATGCTGATCACCATAGTAGAGGAGGTTGTGGAGGTGGTAGTCATGGTTCAGATCTTTGTGCTTGTCATAGTGATGTTGGTTGTGGTGGTGTTTGACGTCATTGTGGTGGTCATCGATTTGGTCACAATACTGGTGGTAGTCATTGTGGTGGTCACTCTCATAGTATTAGTCAACACTGCGGTTTTTTGATGCAATGTTCTTTGTCACAGGTCTTTGTATTGTTGATTTTCATGGTGGTGGCCACCATGGTGATGATTGTTGTTGTATAAGTCATGGTGCTGGTAGTAGTGATGGTGGCGGCGGTGGCGGCAGTGGTGGTGATGGTTTGGTATAATCCCTGTATCATCTAACCTGTTGTTTGGAGTATGATTTCATGGCTCGAATATGTAACTGGTGTATTATCTCAGCTTTACTCTCAGAAGTAGAATCACCGGTGGTGAGAATGTTAGTGCTTGTTGGGTGCCTTAGCAGATCTGGTGTCTCTGGGCCAGTGAACCCTGCAGAATACAGGAACATATGTAGGCAGGGTATCTATTTCATGAAGCACCTAGTCATATCATACTCAATATAGAGGTCATGCACACTTTGAAAAGAGATCCCACATTTATTCATCATAATACAATCATGACTTTTTCTTTCATTTACTTCTCTTCAGAAAAATTGTAATGTTGATAGACAGACTTCCTTAAAAAGCTAACATATAATGTCACCTAGCATACACTATCCAAATTACTTGACCAACATAGGGTTTGTTCCAAATATTTTAGTTCTGTGTATAAGAAGATATTAATAAAAATGAAACAATGTGACAGATTAGGCCGTTTCTAGGGGATGAATATGTAAACACGTTCCAACTGACCAGTATCCAACAGGAGGGTATCCAGTGCTAGGTAATGGACCGGTAAACACATCACAGCAACAAATGCGCAACAACGGGGCATCATTGTTAGGCAGTGCATGGATGGAGAAGCCTGATAACAATACATGATATCCATTGCTAAGCAGCAATGTGTTTTCTGTGGGTGGTCCATGCCGAGCCTATATAGGGAGCAGTGAACATTGTTTGAGGGGATTCGACAGGAAGATGTCATTCGAAGCAGTTCAGCAGTTGAGGAGGCTAGTGACTCCTGCACAGTTCAAGAGAAAATTATAATAGTGCGAAGATAATGGACTGACATACAGAATCCAACAGCAGAGTCTTGAAGGCTACAAATGAAGATTATAACTGAAGTGTGAAGACTTTGGTTTATGTGTCACTGTTTTAGTAATCATTTGGAGAGTTATAATTCTTTGTGGTTACAACTTATCCAATAAAATAGCTCTGTCAAAGCTGAAATCCAGTAATTATTTGTCAATGGATACCAAAACACGTGACAACAATAAGCAGTGCAGTCCAGGGTGTTAATACTGATTGACAAAGGTGGATATATTGTCAGTAGAAAGCGAAAAAATATAAGACAGCAGAGGAATCCAATGGTCCACTTGTACATATGTCCCAAGAACCTTCTTTAGGATTTGCATACTACACTGGGCTTCATGTTCATCTATTGTAGATACAAACCTACTAGTGACACAGCTTGCCAACGGTATATGTACTACTCGGATGCACATTTGTAAGTCCAAATCACATGCTACTTCTCTAGTTCTATCCATGCATAGATTTCCCAGCCAATCTTCTGCCTTCTGATTTTCCAACAAAATGTGTTTTAAAATTGTTGCTTTCCTGATCACCTAAATGAAACATGTGACAATGCTAGGTGAAGAGTAGAAATTTATAATCTCATTAATATGAACCATATATGTGTAAGCCTGACATAAAGTGACCCTCTATATTTCCAGAAACTCAGAAAAAAAAGTTCTTTTGACAAATTTGAATGGTAATTTAATTCTGAGGATTGTATGAGAAAAACAAAAACTACACTATTAGAAAATAACAGATTAAAAATTGAATACCATGAATATATTTCTATATATTTTTCACAAATATTATTACAATCAGTAATCAGAACTACTCATAAACGAATTCTTTATACTTATGGTTACAGACCAAAATTAAGGATACCTCTATATTCTAAAAAGCAGTATAAAACATAAGAATGTACAGGTCTTGAAGGCCCATAGGGTTGTGAGATGTCAAGGCCCTCACAGATGGCAGCAAGGTTATCAGCCTTAAACGCCGGCCACCCTTTACCCCCCCAGGAAAATTCTTGGTACTCATTTTTGTTGGAGGCTGAGTTGACCCCAGGGCCATAGTGTGGCTGGAAGGATTAGGTAAATTGAAAAAAATCCACCTCATTGGGACTCAACCCCGTGACCTTCCAGCTTGCAGCTAACTACGCTACTACATGCCCCCAAAAAGCCGTATTTGAGAAAGAAAGCCTTGGCCTATATTTGGGTTAATATAGTAATTTTACTCATACATCACTTATTCCTCTTTCTTATGTCTCCAGTGCATTGTTCTCAATGTATCTCAAAAATTCAAATAACATACTAAGTTTCACATCCATGTGAAAGAAAAGATAAATTTCTGAATCACTTACAGAACTACTCAGACACAATTCAGCATATCAGACTTCTTAGAGATTATAATGACTTTATGTCATTTAAAATACAATGTTGAGTAATGTATTAAATCACACTTTGAATCCATTTCTCATCTCCTCCATGCATGTTATGTTTTTGACCTTTCTCATCAAGTACAATTTCTTCCAACAGTATCTGGTGAAAAGTAAAAATAATGAAGCACCTCATTATGTAATCGCTTCAATCCTCATATTACTTCCTCTCACATGGGTTGAAATATTACATTTGACAATTTGTTCTCCAATGCTGTCTGTAGTTTCATTCATATACTCATATGGAACATGAGGTAAAAGTTATAGTTTTTCAAACTTAACAGAATAAAACTATACATTTAAGCCTTCTGAGGCAAGCTCCCTGCTATTTTGTAAATTTCTCAAGTTACTGCCATTGCTCAAAATGTTAAAAAAACAAAACCCTGTGGCCTATAGTCTGCAAGTGAACTATATCAACCTAGTGACTGCTGCTTGTCGGAGAAGTTATTGCCAACTTTTGCGGATAGAAGGTGTCATGTGGTCACCACACGAGATCCCCACAGTCGTTAATCTCGGTTTTCTAGACCGGAGCCGCTATTTTTTGAAATAGCTGCTCAGTTATCCTCACTAGACTGAGTGGAATCTGTTCGAGACCCACTACTTCTCAGAAAGTGTCTGGCAGCGCCGGGAATCGAATCTGGATCTGTAGCCAGGAACACTGACCACTAGACCACAGACACGATCAATCAAAATGTTAACGTTTTTTATATACTGGAACCCAATATTGTCACTTTATAAAAATATGCATGACAGAAGAACATTCTAAACTTAATCAGTCCAGTCCACATTTTTCACTTAGAGTAGTATAAAGAAATTCTGGTCAATACTCACTGTCAGAACTAAAATTTCCTACTAATGAGCTGATTGTTTGCCCTCTGAGTCTAGCCAGTCTACATGCAGGGTCTTCTCCAACCAACCAATATGTCCACATCTCTCCCTTACCCTGCATGCAAAAAGGAAACATAATACATTAAAGCCTTGTCACAGTATATATTTACTGTGTACACAGACATGCCCTGCCTATGAACAACAACTCCAACCTAACCTTGATGGGCGTGAGCCCTCTTTCCTCACAGTAGTACCCTCCTAGGAGATCCAGTAAATTGCGGGTTGCCTCCGAGATGTGGATGCGAAATGCCTCACCTGATGACTCCATGCGACTTGCAGTATTCACTGTATCACCAAACAGGCAATAACGAGGCATCTTGAGCCCCACCACACCAGCAACACATTGGCCTGCAATATACAATATAAATCAATAATAAGTTAATTATAAATATTAACATATAATTATAAAAGATAAAACAACTCCGTCCAACACTGGGCGGGGTTGTTTTATCTTTTATAATATTGTTAGTGTGATGGACCAGAATGAAACAAATCAAATTAACATATAAGTTTATACTGAAAAGGGAAAGCCAGATTATACACCTGAATGTTCTGTTTCAGTTCAATTATAATTTATACACTACAGTCATGCAAATACTTGACAATCCCCAGCTCCAACAGGATTGGATATATGATGTAGCAGTCCCTAGAAGAATTGTAAGAAATGTAGCCCTGGTGTCAAATCTTCATAGTTGCATGAGTATCAAAAAGTGGTGCATGTAGTTGCAAGCTCAAGTGGCAAGTATATACTAGGAACACTGTGGTACAGAGCAGAACTCATAACCAGTCAAGTAGTTATGACATTATAGACATCGTGCAGTACTATGTATTGTAGTGGCCATGACGTCTCTAGACGTCATGCATGTTTCTAATAACTCCATTGTATGTATAATGCCAGTCAGCAGTGGAAACTTGTTCGTTATGCTTGCAAGATGTTCCACTTACTTCAGAGTGTGATAGGAAGTTGTCAAATGCTTGATAGCTGTCCTGGGTTCCAGTTTTTTTCAACTGAACATTATGGCAAGTCATAGAAAGATGAGGAGGTGTTTTAAGAACTGTTACAAGGGAATGAATATAGTGGTATTTCAGAGAGTGAATGTAGTAGTGATAGTGAAACAAATGTGAAAATTTCGTCTGGTGGTGAACAAAATGGCAGCTCTGATGAAACAGAAAATGTCACCAACAACAGAATCATGCAACCTGACATATGTGCAAATTCCATTTACTGGCAAGCCTAGCATAAATGTTGATTTAGAAGATCCCAGTAACCCCCTGGAATATTTTGAGTTGTACTGTATGCCAGATATTTTGAATGTAATAGCCAGAGAAACAAATCGGTATGCCCAAAAATTTTTAGAAAACTTGCCTAATCTGAAACTAAATCTAGGAACCATTACTGGACTGGTATTGAAAATAACATAATTATAAATCATTCACAGTGTGTGCTACTTTAGTGGCAGCAATGTGTTTCTCATGGTATACATGTTTTAGTGACGATTTCATAGTCTGTAAAATATATGGATTTTGCAGTGATGTTTGGAAGAACAGTCCAGTTCATTCATTAATACTAGGTCTGAGCTTGCAAAGGAAGTACAATTTTTAAGGTCACACAGCAATAAAGATCTCTGTTTATCAATGAGGAGCACACAGTGTCACTAGACAGATTTGGCAGCTGACTGTAATGATGGTGTTACATTTCTAAACAGCAGGCTCCAGTCAAGAATGAATCAAAATAATTGAAGTTATTGAAGCAATTATAAACCCATCAGTCCAATTGCATAAAATTATTTTTCTGCAGAACCCTACAAATTGAGTACAAGTTTTATTATTTTGGGCCCTGGCCTCTGATTCTTTTTTTTTCAGTTTCATGATCATTTTACAGACAGTAGAAATCCTTAGACGAGTAATCAGTTCGTTCCAAGGCCTCTACCTAAACACAGGACAACATAAATACAGAATAAACACATACACATAGCAAACATCCATGCCTTGTGAGGGATTAGAACCCACGATCCCGGCTTCCAAACAAATAAAGACAGTACATGCCTTAGACTGCTCAGCTACTGTGATCAACCTGAGTAAAAGTTTATTTTTCATAAAAGGCAGTCTAAGGCATGTTAAATGCAAAGATTTATTAAATATCCAAGCAGAATATACAAATCATCTTGTTAACTGTGGTGATACATTTATATATGGAAACATAGAACTAAATAATATAAGAGCAGGAAAGTAAAGTATGGACTCAAAGTAATAAGAAGAAATACTTTCTGAAACACTGAAGTCAACATCTGTACTGTAATTGGTCCTCACACCATAAAAATTATGCAACACTGAAACATATTTACCAAATATAAAAACAACTGCAATAAGATTTAAAATTCTGCGGTAATTAGCCTTCCAGATAGATATGACTGATGATTTTCTAAAAGCAAAAACACCACAAAGAGTTACCTCTCAGTTATTGATTGATCTTTTCATAATCATTTATTACATTTGGAAAGCACTTCTCAACAAAGCCCTTCAAATTCCATTTCTAAATAGCAACCTGGTATGACCAACAGAAAATCACGACTCTGTAATTGTGCGTTAGAAGGCACTGGTATATCAGTGTGGCTAAGTTTCAGTACAGAATTAAAATGCACGTTTCAACTGTACAGAGCTTTGACAGTGGATAAGTAAATTATATTGTAGAGTCATAGCCATCTTTCTATATTGTAAACTTAGATGTCAACTACAGAAACAGACAGTCCAATGAAAGAAATCACCCTAATGGCTAGAAGAATGCATGTTTTTAAGGTAGAGAAACCAAAAGAATTAGGATGGTCTAGATAAACAGTGCAGACATGGAGACAAGAAATACCTGACCAGGTCACTTGGATGACTAAGGAGGAGATTACAGGATAACATGAAGAAGGACATTAGAGGAGTGAGCAGTGATGAACGAAAAGAGGCTGAAACTGGCTTAGGATCCTTTACTATTTTCAGTGCTTCAATTCTGTTGCTATAGAATATTATGTACTATAAACATACCGGAATGAATGCCAATGCGGAGACGCAGCTGTTCTCCTGTCTGGTGTCTGATCTCAAAGCGTTTTATTCTTTTGAGGAGGTGAAGGGCCATGGATGCAATCTCTCCAGCATGTCTGTTACCATTCCGTAGTGGCAGGCCACTCACAACCATGTAAGCATCTCCAATAGTCTCAACTTTATATACATCATAGTTTGAGATGATGGAGTCACAGCAAGTGTAAAGATCATTTAGGAGGTCAACAACCTACAATAATTGACCAAAATAACAATCATATTTCTGTTACTCTCATATGAGTTTAAATCACATAAGTCAAATAATATTATCTAAAGAATATTTTTGCAAATGTTCAAAGACATACTGTCTGGTCTCTCTCATTGAAGGTTTGTTATGAAATATAGAATGAAATTAATCTGAAACTTATATGCTATTATAATAGCACTGAAAACAATACATGTTATTGCCATTTTGTAGGTTATATTCAGACAAAATGACTTTTCAGGTTACATATTTCTATGATTATTCTCATCATATAATTATTGCATCTTAATCCTCGAGGCAAGGACAAGCTGACGCGACTCATTGCAGAGAGCATTAAGGGTAGACACATTCCAGTTGTCATTGGTGTTCAGAATCATTTTTTAGGATAAAGAGTGCAAGTAAAGTTTATCAAGTAAAAGAAATTGCAAAAGAAACTAATCTTTCAGACAATAATGTTAGTGAACCAATAGAAATCGGAAAAGGTAATTGCAGTCTACTAAATTCAGTGAATAATAAAGTACTAAGAATATTCCATCAGAATATAAGAGGATTGAGAAACAAAACAAATGAACTAATAAGCTCCATGAATTCAAATCTTCCACACATACTGTGCCTTACTGAACATCACATGAAACAGCTGGAATTAGAACATCTTCACTTAGAAAATTATAATTTAGGTGCTAGATACTGTAGGAAAACACTGGAGAAAGGAGGAGTGAGTATTTTTGTACATGAAAACCTAAAATTTACTAAAATAAATTTAGAAGATTATTGCAAAGACCAGGATCTGGAAGCATGTGCTCTAAAGTTAGACTCTCCTTTTTCTAATATTTGTATACTGACTTTATATAGAGCCCCATCTGGAAACTTCGATCACTTTATAAATAGATTAGAAACCATCCTAAATGTACTGCATAGTTCAAAAGTTGAATTTATAATTTGTGGTGATATAAATATAAACTATCTCATCGACAGTAATAGGAAACTAAATTTAGACTCTTTGTTATCATCTTACAATCTCTCCAGTACTGTTAACTTTCCCACAAGAGTTCAAAATAATTCTAGTTCAGCGATAGATAATATATTCATTGATAACTCAAAATTAAGAGACTATACTGTAGGACCCTTTATAAATGGCTTATCCGATCATGATGCTCAACTCATAGAAATAAATAATATTGACCTTCAGCCCAGTAATCAACAATATCAAACAGTAAGGAAAATCAACAAGCATACGATGGCAGATTTTGTCACAAAATTAAGTAATGAATCATGGGACAATGTATTTGACAGCAATAATATTGATTCTAAATTTAATTGCTTTCTGAACACATACTTGAGGATCTTTTATTCAAGCTTTCCCTTAAAAATAGTCAAAAATGAAAATAAAAACAAATCCACCTGGATAACAATTGGAATAAAAACTTCATGTAAACACAAAAGACAACTATATTTGGCCAGTAGGGACAGTAATGATCCAAGACTAAAAAGTCACTACAAAATGTACTGTAAAATTTTGTCAAAAGTCATTAAAGAAGCCAAACAGAATAACTATAACAGCCAAATTCTAAAATCAAACAATAAAATTAAAACCACCTGGGATATTGTGAAAGTTGAATCAGGAAAGAAATCTGTTAATGAAGACGTACAAAGTTTGAATATTGAAGGGAAGTCCACTAACAATCCACAAGCTATCGCAAGTGCATTTAATGAATATTTCCTTTCATTAGCTGAGAAAACATATTCCAATAACAACAATACTAATAATAATAATAATAATAATAATAATAATAATAATAATAATAATAATCCAATATACTATCTGTCTCGTGCCTTTAACAATTCATTTCCAAATATCAATCTCAAATTCTCAACAAGGAAGGAAATTGAAAACATTATTAAATCCCTTAAGCCCAAAAATTCACATGGATATGATGAAATCTCTACCAAATTACTTAAAGCAAGCTCTGTTTACATCAGTTCACCCTTGAATCATCTATGTAATAAATCTTTATCATCAGGTACTTTTCCTCAACGCTTAAAATACGCTGTAATGAAACCACTTTTTAAAAAAGGAGAGAGAAAATGCATCTCTAATTACAGACCAATATCCATATTGACTTCATTCTCAAAAGTCTTTGAAAAAGTTATGTATAATAGACTACTTGAACACTTAAATTCTAACAACATATTAGTCAAAGAGCAATTTGGATTTAGGAAAGACCTAACAACAGAAAAAGCAACCTATGAACTAACTAACGATATTTTAAGTGCTCTCAATGACAGATTAATTGTGGGAGGGATTTTCTGTGATCTAGCAAAAGCTTTCGATTGTGTTAATCATGATATCTTACTATCGAAATTAAATTTCTATGGAATAACTGGCAAAGCTAATGAATGGATCAAATCATACCTCAAAAACAGGTATCAAAGAGTTGAAATAAATAATAAAAACTCCAGTCATAATGCATTTTCAAACTGGGGAATTATAAAGCACGGTGTTCCACAAGGATCAATTTTAGGTCCCTTACTTTTTCTTCTCTACATAAATGATCTATCTAAAACCATCAACAATAAATCTAAACCAATTCTATATGCAGATGACACTAGTATAATATTTAAGAACTCTAAATTTGACAACTTTAAAAATGACATAAATATTGTATTTGAAGCCTTAAACAGATGGTTCGAAGCCAATTTACTCTCATTAAATTTTGATAAAACCCATTACATATCATTCACAACTAAAAACAACCACCAAATTGATCTGGACATCAGTTATGCCAACAAATTAATCTGTAAAGTACTTGATACAAAATTCCTTGGAATACATGTAGACAGTACACTGTCTTGGAAAATACATATTGAACAAATTATACCTAAATTAAATGCAGCTTGCTATGCGATGAGATCAATTAAGCCTTTTATGTCACAGGAAACATTGAAGATGGTTTACCATGCCTACTTTCATTCTATTATGAACTATGGATTAATATTTTGGGGGAACTCTTCACATAGTGTAATAATTTTTAAAATACAAAAGAATATAATAAGAATCATTACAGGATGTAGAAGTAGAGATTCATGTAGAGAATTATTTAAGAAATTAAAAATTCTACCGCTTCAATCGCAATACATATTATCGCTTCTCCTATTTGTTGTTTACAACAAAGATAAATTCAAATTAAATTCTGATGTCTATAACATGAATACTAGACAAAAATACAACTTCCACCTACCCTCATCAACTTTATCAGTATATCAAAAAGGAGTCTACTTTACTGGCATAAAAGTGTTCAACAATCTGCCACAAAGTATTAAAAACTTGGGCAATGATACTAAAAAGTTTAAATCAGAGTTAAAGAATTATCTACATGCTCATTCCTTCTACTCTTTAGATGAATACTTCAATGTAAATAGAGAATGATGTAAAATTAAGTTATATTAATTTTTAAGCTAAAATTGCCTGTACTTATGTATGTAACATTTTGACTTGTTCTGTATCCAAAGGTACTAACCTGCTTAGGATTTATAGAATGTAAATAAATTCAATTCAATCTTATGCTGACAGTACCAATACAGGTTTTGCTTCAGAAGTTTTATAGTATTTACAATGCAAACCTAGTACACATGCATCTTCAGGTGGGCATTCAAAAAGTTAAGATTTACTTTCAGACCTATATATAAATAATAAAATGTTAATCTTGCATACATAGCACATGGGTTAGGGGAAACTGAAATTCCAACACTGTTTAGGTCCAATGCAGTAACTCCCATGTGTGCAATACAGTCAAACTGAGATTAGCAACGAGAATCAGCTGACAAACGCTGAACTGTTTACAATATCCAGTTTGTTTGGTAAGCTTGCATACTAAGAATAGACTCTTCTTTATTTTAATAAGATCTAAAAGTTTGTGACGATGGTACACTGCTACAATTATTATGTTTTTGGACATTATCCATCGCCCTGTCTATATTTTCTAAAAAAACCGTTGTTTATTTTTCAAAACACAACGTTTTGGAGACTGGATTATGTTTCCGTCCTCAGGTGAAACCTACTCAGTTGAGTCCAATAGATAGAGCTAGTCCCTATTTCCGGACGAGAGAGAGATAGGGAGATAGGGACCAGCTCTATCTATCGGACCCAACTGAGTTGATTTTACCTGAGGGCAGGGGCAGAATCCAGTTTCTGAAACATTGTTTTGAAAAATAAACAGAACGGTTTTTTAGAAAATAGACAGGACAACAGATAATGTCCAAAAATATAATATTTGTTCTTTACTTTGATTTATTCCAAATGAATGTTTACAATTGTGATAGGGATTGGTGTATTCTGCTCAGATATCATGTCAGCATGAAAGAAGTCAAGTGCAAACACTGGTGAAGACATAGTTGTGGAATTCTACGTTAACATTTCATCACATCTTTCATGGGGGGTGGGGGAGGGGGGAACTGCTGATAGCTCACAAACTATTAGTATTGGCAAGAGTTAATTTTGTTCAGTCACAAGGTACAAGCGATATGTTGGGATAAATTACTCACGAAAACCTTCCCAGAAAATCCTCTAATATCCGTCAACAAAACTGAAGTCATCGTACACAAGTAAGTAAAAACTGAAAGCACATTTCTTTTGAGTAAAATACTTTAGAGAAAGAGTGATCCTGAATGTCAGAATCTTGGGCATTTGAATTTAAAATGGGTTGATAACAATATGTTAATTGTATAAACTACCTGCAATGGTGTGCTGATAGCTGACAGTTCAGTAAAGCCAACAATATCACTAAAGTAAATAGTAACACAGTCAAAGCTCTCTGCCTCTACTGGATCCCCTCTCTTCAATGCTTCTGCTACAGTCCTGCAACAAGAAGAGCACTGTCAGTAATCAGATCTGCCAGTCCCATAACCATCTAGGATAGTGTCATCCTCCTTAGCACTGCCTGTGGCTCAGAAACGGAGAAGGCCAAAGGGGTGAGGGTCCAACATGTGGCCGTGCCATAGCTCGAGCGGTTAGTCACTGGCTTCCCACCGTGGCGGTCCGGGTTTGATCCCGGGTCTGGTCAAGTGGGATTTGTGGTGGACAAAGTGGCGCTGGGGTAGGTTTTCTCCGAGTATTTCAGTTTCCCCTGCCAATCTTCTTTCCACCAATTGCTCCAGAATCACCCTCACCTATCATCTGGGGCTGGTACAATAGGCCAGAAGTGGCTGCAGTACAAGGGACTTAGTCCCACCTCACTAGCAATAAAAAAAGGGTCCAACAGATATCAGGCATAGTTTTCAGATGCTCTATAATAAACAGACGTTACTCTATTGAAGAGTGTAAAAGCCCATCAGTGATCACGTGAAAGTAACTACCCACTTTGGCAGCATGCGATGCAGAAGAGCTTCTGTTTTCTTCTTCTCCTCCATGAGCTGATTGGTACGCTCCTGTACCAGCCCCTCCAGGTTGTAAGCATATTTTTCCATAATGGCCAGCATATTATCAAAGATGTTTGGCTTCCTGAAAATTCATTATTATATCACATAAATTCATAAAATCCTAGCAATAGATAAGCAGATAGTGGGATTTTAGAAGCAATATTTTCTTAGGCTCTTTGTTCTTTATGATTTATCATACAATATCCCTGACATAACACTAAAAAGCACACTAAAACAATTAACATTCGTAACTAACAAACTCCATGAAGCAGAATATTTTGTAAGAAGCTGAGAGCCACTCAGCTGTTCCAGAAATGATCTGCTTTTGTGGAACCTGAAACTCATTACAGGATTCACAATACCTGGTAACTCCTTCCTTTTCCTCTACCACTAGTAAAAAAAAAAAAAAAAAAAAAAAAAAAAAAAAAAAAAAAAAAAAAAAAAAAAAACAAAAACCTGAAAGTAAAGCTATCCCTGTAACAGGCTGTGAAGGCCCATAGGGTTGTGAGACGTTGAAGGTCCCACATTTCTAGACAATCAGCTCAAAGATGGTGGTAAGGTTGTCAGCCTTATGCGCCAGCTGTGCTTTATCCCCAGGAAAATGATTTAATTAAATCCTGGTACCTATTTCTGTTAGAGGCTATGTAAACCCCAGGGCCATAGTGTGGATTAGGTCAATTTAGAAAATCCAGTGACCTAATTGGGACTTGAACCCGCGACTTTCTGGCTTATAGCATAGTGCCTCAACCAACTACACTACTGTGTGCCCCCTCCTCTACCAATTATTAAGTGTCTTTAATGTATTACTATTATTAAAGGTAAGAGAAACGGTAGAACTATCCCTGTAACAGGCCGTGAAGGGCCATAGGTTTATGAGATGTTGAAGCTCCCACATTTTCCTAAAGAACTGGCTCACAGATGTAGATGAAGTTGTTAGCCTTACGTGCCAGCCGGCCGCCCTTTACCCCCAAGGAAGATTCCTGGTACTCTTTTCTGTTAGAGGCTGAGTCGACCATAGGGCCACAGTGTGGCTAGAAGGATCAGGTAAATTGAAAAAAAATTCCACCTCCTCGAGACTCGAAACTGCAACCTTACAGCTTGTGGCATTAGTGCTTCAACCAACTACACTATCACATGACCCTGTATTATGAATTATTATAATTCAAAATGATTTATAATAACAAGACTGTTGAATGACAGGGAACATACAGTCCTGCCTGCATCTCTTTCAGCTTCACCCGGACATAGCGAATGTCAGGCCTCTGTTCTGGATCCTCATCCCAGCAGCTCTTCATGCAGCGTAGTATGTAGTCGGCTATTCCAAGACATTCTGTAGGTGGTCGAAATATGCGGCCATCCACTAGGTTACGCACTCTCTCCACAATTTCTGAAGCCAAAAATAATATTCAAAATGAAAATATCTGGCAAGTATAGAAACATGGCAAATCCTCCAAATGAACCATCCTTTTATAACAAAATAATTTCACGGTTCCAGAAAACTGAAGTAAAATTTATTTATAAGACTGGTATATAAACATTAAAGATTCTTTCCCATACACAACCGACCTTGACTATCGTTACCTTGGAAAACTCCAGTTGTCATTTGGTAGCTGAAGTTACAAGTTAGTGCATGTAATTTTTGAGGGTACTGACATTTTGTACTCTGGTCCCTAGCATGTCTACCATCATTTTCCTGTGAATACCATTTCCTGAAGTAATGGCCATTCTGCACCTTAAAGCTCACCCAAAGGAACTCTACTTTTGAAGTTGGAATATTCATGTACACTGGACACCAACCTAAACTCTTGAACACTGAATTTCTATAAAATACAACCGTGCATCACATATAATACACACACCTACAAATATACAGAGAGACGCCGTTCCAAAAACCATTTCTTCATATTCTGGGAGCTAAGAACGTATAAATATATCAAATTTTGAAATTATTTTTTTTTTTCGCCATCTCAATGCTGTGAAGCATTGACAAATACTGTTACACCACAGTAATAGGTTCATCTTGAGAGTGATTGTCAGCAGAGGGGACCTACAATTTAACTTTGGCCCCATTCTGACTATTCTAGACATTCCTGAAGTTTTGCAGAAGTGAAAAGCTCAAATCTGCGAGAAGAACAATTCACACACCAGTCTCCTGAGGACTACGCCAAGAATCGTCTGACTGAGAGTTCAGTGTCTTAAATAGAGACAATTAGATCTCCTATTAAACAAATATGGTATTACTTGTTGCTGACATAAAAACAAAACATGTATGCATAAGCGGTAGTATATGTATGTCATTACGTGGCTCCTGTATGAATTTTCTGGAGTTTAAAGCTTCAAATCACAGGAACTCATTTGCATCTTGTATTTGCATTCTTCAACTATGAAGCATACTTTCTAACAGGTGGCCTAGATCAGAAACATGGTGTGCATAAAGCAAAAAACACAGAAGATACTCTACATATTGCAGCAAGAGCTATGATATAGGCCTGTTCTCATAAGACAACTTCAAAATTCACGAATATAAACTTTGAAATTAGATGAATTAATAATTCCATTTCCTATGATTTAGGAAACACTCTTTGAAATTTTGAAAAAAAGTATCAATGGTTTCCTTGTGAGATATATATAATCAAACAAGTGAAATATTGCAGTTTTGCTGTTTAAAATTTGAATGTCCATTGACATAACACACTTTAACCCTCTAAATGACAAGACCTGGAATAAGAATACAAACATCAAGGCTGCTTACAGGGTAAATACAGATGTACAGAAACTTTCTCAGATTACTTTCAAACAACCATATGTCCAGATAGAGTGAAATCCTGTCCCTTCCCCTAAATATTGACACATCTAACTTGATGCCATCTGTTGGCAGAAATTCTTGACTGGGTGATTAATATCAAGTGAATGTTTTACACTGTAGCAGCTTCACAGCAAGTATATGTAAACCAAGCTGATCTAATGGCACATGACATGCAAAAGGTTAAATATTTTCTGAAACACTGTTAATGTTATGCCTGTTTCTTCTATAGTACCTTATAAATTTAACAAATTTCTAAGACTTACCTTCATGTGAGATGTCAACTGGACCCCAAGGACCATTGCGCCCCATGATTTCATACAAGACTATACCAAATGAATATACGTCCCCTTTCTGAGTTCCCTGAGGTGGAGGGTTGGGACTTCGCAGTAGTTCAGGTGCTCGCCACAGTTGGCGTCGCAGTTCCTTCTGTTCATGGTCAGGCTCCTCTTGTCCTGCTACTTGGTCCAATAAAATATAACTGCCAGGTTCAGAATATCAACTACACATGCATAAATGATTTTACTCAATATACAGATACTGAAAAAGAGTGGATAGGAAGACCCTGTTTTCTCCTTCCTACCCATAATAAATACTGTCTATTTTAGTCGCATGTGGCACAAAATGGCTACTGTCCCATTATATTTTAAAGTTTTCATTCAACAATAGCTTTTATCTGCTGAATATCCAATGATATTTTTCCCTTTTAAATTCCATTAAATTGTCCTGAAAAGTGGAAATTCTGATCAGGTAAAGAGGCTGTCTCTGTGTTTAAAGCACCAACCATGAGTATACATGAAGTAGAGGTATGAGTACATATATTCTTAACACCCAGCCACTTTACCCCCAAGGAAAGAATGTCCGATACATATTGGCTAGGAGCCAGGGTGGACCCCTCATCAGATCTGGATGTGTTGGTGAAGGGAGAAATTCCTACTCCTGATATGTATTTAATCCAAAACATCAAGCCCACAGTCAATCATTATTGATTGAACTAACCTAGCTTACACAATCAGTTAATTATATATCAAAAATAATGCTTTGAGACTAAAATTTTAACTGTAATTCATAAAGCTCAATAAACATCTTGTGAGGGAAAATATGAGTGACTAGATACTAGACAAAGGAACAGACAGACTCAACCTCCTTTACTGTATTTTGTACTGTAGTAGGTCAAGCACTTCCTCTTAAGATGTGCAGAGACATAACTTCATGTGTTACACTTTGCACAAATATTTGAGACTTCAAAATGGAATGTAAAGTATTATATTCCAATTAGCTATAAATCTCCATCTAGTGCCGAGGTCAATAAAATGTGAATCTATACATCCACTCCCCCATACACCTTCATGGCGTAGTGCTTAATTAGTGAAGCACAGGGACAGCTTTAACTTCTTAGCTATAAATTCTAGTTATAACTCCAACAGTCTTATCCTGTGCTTCTCTATTCAACAGGGGTGCAATATGTTTCATAAAAATGGCGAAATTAATTTGGTTCCTTTATTATATGGTACAGAATGAGAAATTTGTTATACTTAAATATTAAGAAAAACTTCTATGTTAATTATCTATAAGAAAACTCCATGGTCTGTAGTCCACAAGCAAACTATACTGACTGAGTTACCACTGCTTTGTTGGCAAAGTTAGTGCCAACTTTTGTGGATAGAGGGTGTCGTGAGGTCAGTGCAATGGACCCCCACGGCCGTTAATCTTGGTTTTCTAAGCTGGAGCTGCTATTTCCTTGAAATCACTACTCAGTTATCCTCATGAGCCTGAGTGGACCCCATTCCAGACCCACTACTTCTCAGAAATTCTGGTAGCGCTGGGTATCTAACCCAGACCTCTGGATCTGTAGCCAGGAACTCTGACCTCTAGACCACAGAGGCGGTCTTCTAATTAAAAGATGAGGAAATGGAGGAATTATCCTTTGTTGGCATATGTTTCAGTCCTATGATACTAAAAGGATTTAAAAATTAATTAAGTCTTTGTTGCCCACCTTTAAACTCATGGAGACCAAAGTCTGTGATCTGAAGGACCCAGCGTGAATCCACAAGACAGTTGCTGGAGCGAAAGTTGCCATGGGACACAATGTCACTGTCATGAAGATAGATCATTCCCTGAAGCGAAACATAATGTCATTCCTTACATAAGCCTCATCCTCCAAAATCTTGTTACTGTTATTTTTCATATCAAATTAAACCTTCAAATGTTTTCAATTACTTTACACACACATATTTTTCATAACTGCAACCCCTTAAATTTGTTGTACCCTTCTCTGAGGGGGATCATTTTAAATGTTCTTTTTACATGATATTTTTGCATGTGACGTATAATGTGGGACATTCAATTATAAATTGTACTACATTTTACTCGTCTAGAGGGAGCAAGAGGACAAAGAAGAAATATGACTAAAAATGTTAATCTGTCATTTAACTGAGTGTACAGAACTACTGGAAGATTAAACTCAGCAGTGTTTGTAAATTTCAAAAATATTTTGAAGAACAAGAAATATGAACACTGTCTGGTTGACTGTCCCTTCATATAATTTTCCAGAAGAACTTTTCAGCCTTGTTCCTCTGACAGGTTATCAGAAAAATTCACTGATATGACACATCGGTTTATAACTATGGTGTAATTATTTGTTCAACAGGATTCAAAATTCTTCCATGCACTTCCTATCTCATGTAGTGCTGTACACCAGTGCTTTTCAAAATCACATGTGTAAGAAGGCCATAATGATTCTGTAGAAGAAACTGTCTAATGAAGTCAAATTAATTGTTTCAGTGCCCTGCAACAAATGCAGTGTGACCTGAATAACAACATATTGATATATAATTTGAATTCATTGGATTCATACGAAGTGTAGTCAACTTTGCACTACTGTTTTGATATTCTTCACATTACACCATAAGTGAAGATGAAAACAAAACCATCACTCACAAGCTAGAAAAAATTATGTACAGTCTCAGGAGAACAATATACATTATATGTGTAATATAGCCCCCAGGGATGATCCATATCTTATGTTGAGGCTGCAGTAGTCATCATCAAGGTGAATGACATAGATATATACATCTCACAGTAGAAGTATGGTTGGGGATGTGAAGCACTGTGCTTTAAATGGGGCAAGCTTTATAATTTTATGTAAGCAGATTCAGAAGTTCCATAAATAATATTTCTCTGATTAACTTTCTAATGTCAAGAAAGACTTTCTACATATTTCAAATGTAACTGTAATGATACTGCCATGTTATGTATCCATATATCAGTGTGAAACAGCATTCTCAATATATGCATAACAGAACATGATGTAAGGATACAACTTTCTATTAATGCACCTGACTTCAAGGTACTTTTGAACAATAAACAGATACACCAGTTGAATTAAACATTAAGTACAAGTACACTGTTTTCTGAAATATGAGACTAGCCTGAACTTTGAAGCAGCATTATAATTAAAAACAAATATTTTAAAAATAATAGGTGTTAGAGCTGTTGTTTTATGAAAATGTTTTACTGTGAAAAAGATTCTGCAGCAATGAAATAATTAAGAAACACTGTTTTACCCATACAAATACTATATATAAACACAGCGGTTGAAGCTGTAATTCTAAAGATTTGTTACAAGGGTCTAGTGTCATTACAGTAAAATTCTCTTTTGGTTTTTTATATCATCATTCTTTTAATTCCATGAATGAATATTATCAACATAATTGGTCATAAGTGTGCAAATTTGTAATGTATTTAATTCAGTTAATATAGGTAATTTAAATAAAATTGTATTAATTCAAGTTTCATGGTAAGTTATTTTTAAATTATGTATATTAATTAAAAATGTATTATTTTTTACTTTATATTATTATTTATGTTAATCAATTAATTAAATAATTTCGATTATGTGACTCATGTAATTTTGTATATGTATCTTGATATATCTATTTTCAAATGGACCATTTCCACATCCTAGGTTTGTTACCTGTATGGATATATGGAAAATGAAGGAAATGAATGAATGAATGAATGAATGAATGAATGAATGGATGGATGAACTGTCTAGACAAGAAATAAAATGTTTCGGAATCTAGTTTTGTCTTTAACCTGAGGTATAATAGAACAGTTCTAGCTGCAAATATGTGATATTTTGGGGGAAAAGTTTTGAAATATTTGTGAATGAAAACTTTGAACTAATGATGTAAAATTTATCCCACTGGGGCAAGGAACTTATTTATACACGAAAGCAAAAGGAAGTTCATAATCATGCAAATAAATAATAGTGTCACAGAGACACTATGTAGACATGTAGACTATGTAGACATCTGGATCATAACCATGCAAGTAATAAGAGCCATATTTGTTCATCCCTGACCTTTTGAAAGCATCACAAATCTAACTTACCTTTAGAATATCTGATACTAAGGATGACACAAACATGTTGTCAAGGTGTAAGTCTTTGTTAGCTAGTACATCTTCTAGGCTTCCCCTGGCACAGTAGGCTGTTAACACACATAGATTCCCATGATCCACACAAGCACCAATGAATGGGATTAGGTTCTCATGTCGAGCCTCACGGATCTATAATCATGATACATATACAGAAAATTAAGGAGAAGTTTTACTTTCCTTCTTGACATGACTTTAAATAACTTGAATATACACATAATTCAAGTGATATTTCAGGTTCAAATGGCAGTGAGTATCTTAAGAATTAAATTAATCCTGTCTTCCTGAAATCAAGTTTCTTCAAATATGCTATGTTCTGTGTTTGAAGGAAAACACTTTTTAAAATTCAGCTGAGAACCTAGTAACTTTATATATAAGGTGACATGGAGAGAACTGCATACAGATATGAGAAAGTTCAGCAAACTTTATCTGACAGTTGATACAGAGAGTTATACAGGTATAGATTAGGTAATATATGCAAATTACCTGCTTTAGTTCTTTGCGGATATTCCTAGTTATATCAATGCTTCTTTTATGCAGAAGTTTAATAGCTACGATGTTACCACGATATAGGCCTATACGTGTGTATGCTCTCTTATGGCTCAATTCAGGCTGGTCCACCATAATGCTGCCCCCTACTGGTGCACCACACTGGAACACACTCTGCCGACAAACTTGAATCTGCCAAATGTAAGGAATGAACATGTTCAAATACAAATTAAACTACTGGATAAACTTCATACTATTTCAAAGCCACCCTTAGTTAGTTAGTTAGTTAGTTATTGGAGAGAGTGGGTTTCCCCATTGTTGGCAGAGTGCGGGAATCGGGAACAAATATTCCAACGACCAGTTTAGAATATAAACTGTATTTGTGACTTGAAAAATACAATAGTAGGAATACATATGTCTCGCCTTTCCAGTATCCAACTCAGAAGTGTTCAGGTTACACAAAAAAACAAAAGACAATCTCTACAACATCTGTTTCAGAAGAATATATCGAACACACTTTCAAGGGTACCAACTTTTGATTTGCAAAANGACGTATAAGTCCATGGTTTATGCTGACCGTCTTACAGTGTATACACTTTTTCACCTTATTCTTCACTTCCACACTACATGTTTCGGCACTAATGTGCCATCTTCAGGTGTCTTTATGCACGTTAAACTATTGTACTGCATGCCATAATGTCTTCATTCTAAAATGACTAAAATCTGTATTCGTCATATAGGACGTTGAATTCTAAATAATAAAACTTTTCAGGATTCTTCCTACGTCACACTCAAACATGCGAATTACGCCAGTCCTCTTTTATGTGAGCATTCTTCCTACATATATTTGTGTATCGTGTTCTGTGTTGTGTTTTGCTCCTGTTATTGCATGTGTTGTACTGTATAAGTCTGTTTCAAATAAGAACTACTTTAAGTTCTAATTCCTGCCATAAATATGCGCAGCAATGTCAAGGTGCATAAGTGGGAGGAAAAGAAGAACGAGAAGGAAGAGGAGGAGGTAGAGGAGAAGGAAGAGGAAGGAGATTAAGAAGAGGAGGAAGACGTAGGAGGAGAGGGAGAAACCGGAGGAGGGGAGGAGAAGCAAGATACATTTCGAGATTTTATGTACAACCTCAATGCTTCTATTGTTTAGGAAACCATTGCTCCTTAAAAATTAAACATTCTTTATTTCTTTAGTCTGAAAGACCTATAATTTACTGAATGAAATTGTGATAAATTCAGGAAATATTTCACCATTTTAAAGAAAATGGGGCACTTACCATACTCTTATTTGTGGCTTCAGCTGCCTCAGTGGGGATAATAGTCACATCTCGCATATCTATCTTCCACAGCAGGCATGCTAATTTCTGCTCATAGCGATAATGCCTGAAGCAATCACAACTGATGTTTAGTTTACAAAATCCACCTATCCACTTGCACAGTGTGATCAGTGTTACAATTACTAGTGTTAAAATTGATTGCAATGAGAAATAAGTGCATACATAATTGTGGATGGGGAATCTGAAGGATGGACCTAGGCAAATGTCACACAAAACTTAAAATTTTTGGTTTTTACTGGTGATTCTGTGCAGTGAAACACATAAAAAACAAAATTCTCTCTTAAATAACATTAATGTAATATATTTAAAGAATTTTTCATCACAGCCTCTATAAGTAAGATGCAACATGTGATGCCAAACCACTTACTTAAAAGCAAAGATGCCCCCAACAAGCAAAAAGGAGAAGAGGACAGATAATGTCACAATCACCCTCCAATCCGGCTTGTAGATACATTTCTCTCCTTGGAATCCACAAGAGGGCTCAGCTTTTGGTTCAACACCACCAACCCACTGAATTTTTCTATGTTCATCGAAATATTTGAACTCCTGAAACATACCATTTTAATGTCAATTCATGATGTAGTTGTGTCACTATAAATGACTAATAACATTGTCATCTAAGTTATTTTGAGAGAGTGGAGAGAGGATTTTGATAACCCACATATAATCCAATATTAAGCATCAAGATTCAGCCCCTTCCCCCACTCCTTATTGTTCTAATTTTAAATAATCACAATATTTCTGATTAACAACTTTTTTTTTCTAATTCTGTAATATATATGAACAAGTAAAAATGCATCATTCTTCAAGCTTCAGTAATGAAAATTCAGGTTAAAAATTTTCTGGTTCAAATTGTTTACTCACTAATTACTGGATTAGTTTTACACGTGGATTATATGAACTTGTGAATTCTGCTTTCTTTTTTTTTTAACATACTGTCATGTCTGCAGTGTAGCATGTGGTAAAATCAAATGCCTCTTGATGTACCTATTTCAAGTAGTACAACATTATGTATAAGTGAAATTCAAAAGCCAATATACATTTAGTGAGTTGCCCCGATCATTGTGGTCCAAAAGTATTATGTCAAACAGAGAACTTACTATGAAATTTTAATGTTATATTGCATCAAACTCTGTTAAATATTAAATTAAAAAGTTCCCAAGCCCGAGTTTGGATTTTTGCTAAACCAAAGTCATAAGTTCATGAACAGTTTCAAACACAAATCTTTTGCAGATATCCAATTAAAATATCCTGATGCAAAGAAAAACTGAATTATGTGAATATACTAATTAAATTATTACCTTTGATATTATGTTACATCAGGGAAATAAATTATAGGCATTACCTGTATAGGTGGAAATGTTGATCAATTCTCCCCCCACCCCCACCTCCACCCCCCAATCAGTTTATAAACTCCAGACATCTCATACAATTGTGGTTATTTGTACTGACTGTCTTCTATATACTTATCACTTAGCTGCTGACTTAGTATAGAGTTAATTCTTTGAACAGCGAGTTTTAAAGGTCCTAAAAGTACTGAATGAGTGAGTGGCTTTTCCTTTTTCCTCCCCTGGCCCACAAGTGAAATATGCTCCAGAAACTTCTGTTCCATAGCAGAGCAAGACATTTATGCATATGCTCATACTCTATGCAGCATGTTTAACTTTGCAGTACATTCACACTCTACAGCACATGAAACATGAAAACTGTACAGGTACAATCATGTTCCATGCATCATTTTTTATGTGAATGGCCAGTGACAATTAATTATAGTTAAAATACAGCTTGAAGTGTGCAAATATTATTAGTCTTTTAGACAAGTCTGATGAGGTAAGTGTATGTAAACTGGATATAATGAGAAAGGAAAGAGCACTTACTTACCAAAGTAAGGGGCCTTAGAGACAATAAGAGAAGAATAGACTCCAGTCTCTGCCAGCAGTTGTGGAACTTTTGCTGGTTCTTCCAGTTCAGTTGCACAAGGAACCATGACCTACAAGTGACCCATTCTTCAAACAATTTTCCTCTTAATTCTCATATTCATAATCATGTCTAAGAAGTATAATTAAATAGTGTTTTGCAGGTTATGTATCTTTCTTGTTTTCAATACAATCTTGAAGTTTATAATTTCAGATACATCTGACAATCATTTGACTAATAGCAGTTGCTATTGCAAAATGTGTTAATATATTTTACACCCAGAGATATCAAGGAGTAGAAAGAGATACGCATATCAATTCTCTTATTACAATAAAGTCAATAAAATTGTGCAACTTGTGATTTATCATTAACAGGTAATATGAATCACAGGAGAGTTTAATGCGATAACAGATATTGTAGTCTCTAGATTAATAAAGAGACTTATGCAGGACAACCAACAAAGTTATGAAGAAGAGACTTTTTACAAGCACACATTCTGTTACTATTACCAAAAGGAATAGTGCATCATGATTTTACAGGTTTTATATTTCATATCCATAAGTTCAGGGGGAAAGAACCAATATGTTTATGCCGGGGCACTTGTTTCACCACTGTTTGTGGTGCTTAATTCTTTCCTTTCTCACATAACATAATTTACATACACAACCATCCACAATTAAGGTACTGGCTACATAACCTCCTTATTCAGAATCCACTGACAATATTTTTGGAATACTGGATTAGAAGTCAATCTTTATTAGTAAATAAAATGTTCCTTCCTTCTTAGGAATAAAATTATGATATTAAAATATTTCTTTATAGGCAAGGAACATTCAGCCTTGAATTATAAGTTTGTAACTAGTGATGAATTTTCAACAACAACAACAACAACAATAACAATAACAATAACAATAACAATAATAATAATAATAATAATAATAATAATAATAATAATAATAATAATACAGTTAGGGGGATTCATTGCCAGATGAGTGGTGAGGCTCCAGAAATTTATTTTCCACTCCTTTTACCCTGAGTTCATGTATGAAACACAACTTAAGCAAAACAAGATTTTAATTCAGAGCATCCCTAAAACACAGTAACATTATAAACTACTAAACTTGCAGATGCTGCAACATGTGAGGAGAAGATTATTCTGATAACCCTTGACCAAATTCATATTTTAATTTTCATATTTAGTATGTCATACCTTGACATGAATAACAGTTTACAAAAACTATATCATCACACAAGAAAATGTTCCTCAGCAACATACAAGAAGCTGTATATGATTTACATCCTTTACAACTTACTTAACTACATGATATTCTTATAAATATTTTTTAAAATGTATTGATAATAGATAAGTAATTTTTATTGGATTGTGTCTTTTCATTGAGAGAGTTTCCATGGCTCTTAAAAAACAAGTTCCCAATTGCTGCAGCAGAAGTTCAATGTCATTTTCTTCTTTCTAAAGCTGTAACACTACAATGAAATAATTCGGAATAAAAATACAGTTATACAGACTAGAAGCAACCACAGTATAAAAACTTACAGGCAAGTCATGTGGGTTGCTGCTCACATTTGGAGTATACTGGAAGTAGGCAACAGTCTGCATGCTCATTCGCAAGCTGCCATTAACACTCTCATCATCCAACAGTGCTACCACAGTATAGTTTCCCTCAGCATCACCATTTCCATCAATAAATACCTATAAAATTAAAGTGGACTGGACTATAAATCATTTCATAGGTTTACTGAGGTCTTTTAAATGCGCATTGTATTTTAAACAATTTAATGCAATCAGAGCATCATATGCTGTGTAAGTTTAATATCAAATGAAAAACTGAATTTTAATTCGCTTCAGTGCATTTATTGAGATGTTTATGGCACTTGAACCCATAAATTATGTCTAATTTTGTCTTTGTAAGTAGTGAAGTTATGTTTACAACCCAGATAAATTAGTATTCTCACCACCTAAAAAGTTCACATTGGTCCATTTAATATAATTTAACCATTTTTAAAAGTTCAGTATCTCAACAGACATAGAGGAGCTAAATTTGTTTCAAGAATGAGGAATACATACATCATAGCCCTGAACAGAGTGATAAGAACGGTTGCGAATTTTCTGAAGAATAGCTGAACCATTACGTGGATCTTCACCATTTTGGAACACTTCTGTGAGGGCACGTGCATAAATCATGACAGCGTCATACAGGTGGGCTGCGTCTATTGGCACCTATTAACATAAATTGTATCATCTTATTTGACTTTTATTGTACCATATTGAAATCCTCCCCATAGGAGTTCCCGGCCTGGATTAAATGGCGTTGTAAAATTAAAAATGTGTCCCCTTTTCTAAAAATGTAAACTCCTCCAAAACACCCAATGATGAAAGTAGAATAGAAAAAGTATCAAACAGCAAATGAAACATAGATGATGACACTGCAAATATTTCATTTCTATAATTTTTATAGAGGGCATCCTGATAGTTGCACTTTATTAATGTATAAAGACTAAAATTCTATGCAGTGCGACAATTTTTAGTAAATAGGTAAAATATTTTGCTGCCTCATATGTTTCTATCCTAGGCATCCATCTTTAAGAGGCAATCCTGATTGCAGCAATTTAGCTGATTAATTTGTTGTATTTGTGTAAAGACAATGAAATTACTGGTAACTAGATCTAGATAATATTATTCAGACAACAAACCCCCCTATATTAGGGTGGTACAGTGTATACTGTAAAGATATGCACAAGAATTAGATGTAAAACTGACAATTTCCTTATCCAAATGGTTGTAATACCTGTATGTATGGATTGTTGAATGATAATAAATGATATATCCAACAATGCCAAAGGAATTACTTTACCTAAGACTTAAGTAAAATATTTCCTTCAGCACTTTTGATTTATTTCTTGAAGACTGCCACTTAGGGCAGAAATAGTTCGGGCAGCAAATGATTTTATCTGTTTATGAAAAGTTGATACACTTTAAAAAAAAAAAATTATCTCTATTCATTCCTACAATTTATATTAATCATGGCCATCTGGTCACTCCTAGTCCAGATGTGAAACAAATACTCTTATCATCTAGAATGTGCTTCTTTTTTCTCTACTTAACACATCCTGCTACTTCCCAAACTTTCTTCATGTTTACCCTAATGACAAATCAGTTTACTTCTCCAAAACATTGGTAACCATCTACCAGACTGTCAGATGTTTTCACCTTGAAGACCACGGTATACATGTTAGTAGAATTGTTTTAGAATCTACCAGTACTCCTTTAGAGATTCTAGTAAATCATGGACCATCTCTACAATCAGGTACTCTCATGTCAAACAAGGACCAGGCCCTTCATCACAGGTGTCCAGGTATTTGTGACAGTACCTGATAAGCTCATTCATTCATTCATCCATTTATTTACATTCCATGGATCCTTACATGGTTGGAAGACCAGTGGATATAGAAATAGTCAAAGACAACAAGACAAATCATCCGCTTACAGTAAAAGAACTGTGTGAAAGAAGCAATAAAATGCTCAGTTGACTTGAGTCCTTGTTTTGCTGAGTGCTCAAGCCAAATGGTATGCTAGAAAAGAAGTGCACATCATCATCATCACTGGCACGACAGCCCTTTGTGAGCCCTGGCCTTCCTCAGGATTGCTTGCCATTCTTTTCCATTCAATGCTACATTCCTCCAGTTCTTTATACCCAAGATTCTTATGTCCTGCCATACACATACTTCGTTGTATATCTTAGAGGTGTTGTGTTACATAAAAAAGCACAAAGCAGATTTGATCCAGAATATAAATATTCACAGTTATAATACAAGAATAAACAAGGATTTTCATGTTCAGTTCTGTAGAACTACATTATTTAAAAAGAGTGTGGTAAATATGGGGATAGAATTGCATAGTAAGTTGCCTGACAAAATAAAAAACTCAGTGGGTTTTTCAGTTTTTAAAAGAGACTTAAAATCCTTTTTATTGAAACATTCCTTTTACACAATAAATGAATTCGTTAGTTTTAAATAAAAAGATGGATGGTGAAAGTACTCATATTTGGATGTCATAGCAAATCATAAGTTGTATACAATGATTTGTGTATTTGTTTTTTCTTTTTTCTTTTTCAAATGTAGTATCTACATATTGCTTAGGATTGTAAAATGTTGTTAGTATCCTTGTAACTTTGTAGGTTTGTTTGTTAAGTTGTACTCCTGGATAAATCAATCAATCAATCAATCAATCAATCAATAAATATAGTTCGTAGTATGCTTGTAACTATGTAGATTTATTTTGTTAACTTATATTACTGAATGACGTGTCCAAATGTTACTATGTAGCAAAACGGATGAAAATAAAATACAATGCAATACAATACATTCTTCCCATCTTAATCTTGGTCTTCTCACTCTCCTATTTCCTTCTTGTTTAGTCTTCAGTATTTTCTTAATCATTCTATTCTCGCTGGCACGTATTATGTGTCCAGCCCATTCAAGCATTTTCACATTTATAAATCCAATAATGTCTGGTGCATTAAATAGTTTGTGTAGCTCCATATTCCATTTTCTTCCACTGGTCCAAAGATATATCTGAAGATCCTCCTTTCAAATATAGTTAACCGTCTTTCATCCAATCTTGACAGTGGCCAGGTCTCAGAGGCATAAGATAGCACTGATCTTATAAGTACTTTATACATCATAGTTTTGGCTTTCCTGGGTATTAATTGGGATTTCAGGTGTTTCCTAAGGCCATGGAGACATTTATTTTCCGCAAGTACACACTTTTTTATTTCATCACTGATTGGCTCTGACTAAGGCGATTAACTTCCGTGGAATGTGCATCTCTTCCAGTGCCAGAAAAAGACTATCTCTATCGATGGAATCATAGGCTGATCAGAAGTTAATGAAAAGATGATGTATTTCAATTTGGAATTCATTACAATTTTCAAGGAACTGGTGAATAGCGAAAATCTGATCATTAGTTGATCTTCCTTGACGAAACCCACATTGGTAATCCCCAATTAGGCCTTCCACAAAGGGAGAGAGTCTGTTAAATAGAATGTTGGAAAATATTTTATATGCTATGCACAACAGACTAATTCCTCTATAGTTAGAGCATTCCATGACATCACCTTTCTTATGGATAGGGCATACAATACTTAGGTTCCATTCCTTTGGGATTATTTCAGTTATCCATATCTTAAGTATTAGCTGATGTAAATGCTTAGCATATTCTGGGCCTGCAAATTTCACTAATTCTGCTGTGATGAGATCCATTCCTGGAGCTTTATTATTTTTCAATATTTTGATAGCTTGTTCTACTTCTTTTATGGTCGGCGCTGGCTCTTCAGCCTCAAAATTACCTTGATTCCAGTCTATGCTCATACCTTCCGCTTGTTCAGAGGCATTATCATTTAATAATTCCTCAAAATATTGCGCCCATCTTTCCAATATTGCTTCATCGCTACTCAATATCGTACCTTCTTTATCTCTACATAAGGTTGTTCTAGGTTGAAAGTCCTTTCAACTCTTGTTTAGGTTTCGATAAAACGCTCTAATTTTGTTTCAGCTTCTTAAATGCTCCAGTTCAATCAGTTCTTGTTTATCATATTCCCTTTTCTTCTTTTTATGCAATCTGTTTTCTTTCCTTCTCACTTCATGGTATTCTTCCATGGACCCTCGGGTATGGTTCCTTTGCTGCATTCTCTTATATGCAAAGAAGTGGACAATCCTGGTATTTATTTACTTGCTCCTCCTGATTTTGTCCTAAAAGTCCTACCACTAATATACAACTAAAACAAAAGTACAGAAACCTTGGTATGAAACCTGCTGTTGTTATAACAACAGAGCGCTCTGTGACTGCCTACAGCATGACATTAAAGAATCATCTTTTTGATACAAGGGGCATGCAGTAGCGTAGTTGGTTGAGGGGCTATGCTACAAGCTGGAAGGTTGCGAGTTCAAGTCCTGATGAGGTCACTGGATTTTTTCAATTGACCTAATCCTTCCAGCCACACTATGGCCCAGGGGTTGACTCAGCCTCTAACAGAAATGAGTACCAGGAATTAATTAAATAATTTTCCTGGGGAGTAAAGCACGGCCGGTGCGTAAGGCTGACAACCTTGCCGCCATCTTTGAGCCGATTATCTAGATAATGTGGGACCCTCAACGTCTCACAACCGTATGGCCCTTCACGGCCTGGTACAGGGATAGCTTTGCTTTACTCTTTTTTTTTTTTGCTTCTTAATACAACAGAACTACAAGGCGGTACATGTTTGTCCTCCTTCAAGAGGAGAAATAGTAAAAAAGGACACGAACAAACTTGGTTTACAATTTCCAACAAAAATTTTAACAAATTAATTGTGAATATTTTAACATATTAAGACACCCACTGTAGTTGTTAAAACATTAGATTTCATACCCATTGTACTTTGTCAGCATTGTATGTTGTATATATCTTGGCATTCAAATACATATTGTAATAGTGGCTTCTGATTGTATTGATGTTTCTCTGAGGATGTTCTGTAAAGACCGAAACATGTAAGGGTTGAAGGATTGATATAAGAAAAATCTTTACTAGTCACACTGGACAGAACTGTTTAACCTCTTATGATATTATTAGTATGACAGACCAGAATGAAACAAATCATAGTTCTTGTTAATTGATAAATTCTGTAATTTGTAATTTATAACTACAGACCACTGTAATCTCTGTTCATCCCATGTGCATGATCAAAGAGAAGTTCAGAATATAACTCACAGAAATACTGTCATATATCTTTTCATGGTATGGTACACAGAATGGTGGCTTCAGAGAAAAGTTCTTGATCTGTTCACACAACTCCCTGCAACAAAAAATACGTGGTATGGTGTATCCATAGAAACTCCAAAATAAACAATTTGAAAATGCTCCACAGCTGTACATAATAACACAAGTACATTCTCTTATTCTTTACATAATTTCTAAGTCTCTTGCTGTTGTCTTGATCCATCTGTCTTATGGTGAATAACTGTCCAGAAAATATGTGGTGGTTCTAGTCCTATTAAGCATTTGTTTTGTAGAAATAACATACACCTTGAATTATAAAAAAAGATATCCTTAAGAATGTGTTTCAGATATTGGAGATGTAATACATTTGGTTAAAATGAAGCTGCTAGCTACAAGTGCATGAGGATTTATGATCCCATATTAACCAACATTAACACTTAAATTAAAGTGGTCTGGTGATTTCAATGTACAACCCAAGCTAAATTAATTAAAATAGCATTGAAAATGGTTAAAATATGATTTAAATTAATATTTACAGGGCAGTTGGTATAGCAACTGGCTACGGGATTGACGACTGAGGGGTCAGAATTTGAGTAAAAAATATTCTCTTTTCATGTCGTCCAGATTGGTTCTGAGGCCCACCCAGCCTCCTATCCAATGGTTACCGGGGGCTCTTTCCCGGGGGTATAGCGGCCGGAGCGTCAAGCTCACCGCTCACCTCCAACTAGTGATGAGGTCAAGAAATTGTGGATCTATGCATCCACACCCCTGTATGCCTTTGTGGTGTATTGCTTAATTAGTTAAGCACATCATCTTTACTCATGAACTATATTTATATTTGTTTGCATGTCTCTACTTTTTAAACATTTGTCTTAAGCCCTCTCATCCTACCCTTTTAAAAGAAACTGACCAAGGAACACAAACTGAATAACTGTAATAACTATCTTACAAAATTACATCAATTGAAAACCATGCCTGTGTTATGTACATTTGAAATTTCAGAAAAAAAAAATCAGGAGTTTATATGTTCCTTTACAATGGTGATAAAATTGAAAATAATATATGCTGGAAATAACATAATCTAGCATATCATTTAATCCTTATAATAATAATAATTTGAAATCATAATAAATATCTTATAGCAGTAAGTTAATTTGAGTTTCAGAAATTTTGAGAGAAAAATAAAATATTTGGTTTAAGAGTTAATAATATTTTCTTATTTTGTGAACATGAATTATATTTGTGTCTAGATTTTAATTCTTGATGCTGTAAAATCAAATATTTTATACATATCTTTTGTTTCTCTGCTACTAACTTGTACTTCGGATTCCGAGGATGGGAAGATGTTAGCTTGAGCACTGACCGGAAACCCAGAAATATTTTCCGGCTGAAGTTCCGATTATGAAGGTAAGGATCCAGGTACTCTGTGAAAAATCAATGTTTAAGGACAGTTACAAGCACAAACTCTTTGCGTTTTTAGTGTGGGACTGTGTAAAATATAGGATTCATGTTGTGGAAACTGTTCAGTTCAGAAGGTTGAAGCATCCAGTATTTACCATATGTCTCCAACTAATTATTTTTTGTGTCACTTAATAATTATGTTTATGTAATATCATTATATTTTATTGTGTGGTGCAATGACTTCACATAATTTTCACAGGATTATTTTCATTCAGAAAATGATTTTGTTCATGACATACTTTCTTTCAATGTTTTTTACAAATATATAATTTATAATATTGAATTGTTGCACCATAGAAAACCCTCTGAACTTGATGTCCAGGTAACTATTTATCAGACTCCTCTAGTTTGACCTGGAAGATAGAGACTACATGAAATGAGAGGGACATGCTTTACTGTACAGTGCTTTCATACATATTGTCATGTGGAGGATGGTACGTGTGACAAAAATGACAGGTTCCAGTTCGGATGATTGGTTACAATCTCTTTTAATTACACTAATTACAGCGCTATCGCTCATTTACACACTTCATAATCCACTGTTACATGCACACGCACACACACAAGTCCTCTCTTTTAATGGATCTCAACACAGAAACTATAACAGTCTCCCTAAATCACACACTCCCAATCCCACTGCATTATAGCAAACATAGTGTTTTCAAATCACACGCAAAGTCTTCACATGACGAAATTTCCTTCGCTATCTTCCACCGAGAACTCGCTTGAACAGAATTGCACATAAAACTCTCTCACTGTCACTTAAAACTCTCTATCACTTAAACACTCTGTCAAGTCAAAGTCAAAGTCAAGGTCACATTGAGACTGACGGTCAGTCTGTCAGTCAGTCAGTCAGTCAACATGGGGCTCATGACCAGATATGTATTACTGTTTGACAGTTACGGTCTTGTTTTTGTGGGACGCCCTCTCTGACGAGAGGACGGGGCTGTCTTTTTCATACGCTGTTGGCCCTTGCGAGCGCAGTCTTTCTTGGGTCTGAGTCCTTGGGACTCACAACCACATTTTACTGTCTCAGATTTGAGACTTCTTTTTTTCATCACCTCCTACAACTCGCAGGGTTACGGTGGAGGTATTTGAGTCCACATTCACATGGGATAGAAACACTCTGTTCTGTATGGAATCTTGTTATATTGCCTCCACACAGACCATACACAGAAAACAGCCTCTACTGTTGCAGAGGAGTGTTAACTACGACGTTGCAGAGCAGCGACCGTGGCGCAAACCACATAGAAAGCACCTTACTTATATTGTTGCCTGTGTGTATTCAATCTCGATGTGTTTAATGGTCAGTTACCTAGCAACGCTCTGGCCATCCACGTTACAATACAATTTCCTAACCATATGAGCGAAACTGATATCAGGAGACAGTTCGAAGCCTAGGCTCTTGATGTAGCTACCAACTGAGTGCAGTTCAATGTAGTTACTTAAGTACAAAAATAATAGTTTTCCTGATGCACTTTGAACTATTAGATATAAATATGATTGCTCTCACACAAGGTGAAGTCCTAATCTGTACTGATATGTTAATGATGAGGAAAATGCTTTTTGAGGGAGTAACAAACAAACACTGGTCTCACTTTTGATGGCCTCCATTGAAAAATTACAAAATTCCAAAAATTTTAAATATGTCTACTCTGGGGTAAGCATAAAATTAAACACAAATTTTCCCTCATTAATCTCTCCTCTGCATGCCTTCCCCATTTCTGCCAGCTGTGTGCACGCACACATGCACACGTGCACACTCTCCCCCCCCCCCTCTTCCGTTCTTGTACTTATAGAGGGGAGTTTGCGATGCAGGCAGTGGCAGACTAATTATGAGAGACTTGTGGAACCTAACAGTTATATTTTCCAAATTAAAATTGAAAAGAATATTTTAGTGAAATTTGCTAATTTGGTAACATTCAAATATCAACTACACAGCAATTTAGTCTTACTTTCAGAAATAGCGTCAGAAGAGTCACATCTTTTCAAATAGTTACTCACCCCGCTGAACAATATTAAGCCGATGGTCTGGGTCATAAATCTCATCATCCACAGAAATGATGATGTATTCTCCTTTGTCCAGCAGATGGAGTCTCTGGAGACAATACACAAAGTCCACTAGTGCAATGTGCTCTCCCACAAACACATACACTGTACATGGAAAAAAAGAACCGAATTATGACAGAATTCAATTGCAATATCAGGCATAATTCTATGTTACCCAACTGTAAAACTAAATTCTGTAACTACATTCAAAATATGGAAAAAATGCCCTTCCTTACACATAAACAACCTATCTTAAAACTTACCCAGTTTAACTTGAATAGCAATTCACATTTCTTACAAAATTAAAATTATCATTAAAGCAAACAATATACTATGAAATCTCTCCTTAAATGACAATGGAATTTTAATAATGTGACTGATGATGATGTATAATGAATTTAAAATACTTAAAAATCCCCTGAAGTGGCAAGACCACTTAAACTGAACATTTAAATGAAGAAAGGACAATTCTAGCACTTATCCATCAGAATTTAAAACTTTCAATTAACATAAATTCAAACGTTGTTTCAAGGTCTCATTGTCAAGATGTGCTTTGTGGCTCTTCTCAGAACACTGTGAACAATTAATTGCCATAATTTTGATTGAAAATGAGTCCTGTAGAAGAAATATTATGTGAAAGAATGTAATTCCAAAAATATTTATATTGAGGTATGAACTGCATTCATATGGCTGAGGATATGGTCCAATGGCAGCCATTGTGAGCACATTCTAATTTATGTAGTTATTTACTTACTTAGTTAGTTAGTTAGCTAGCTAGGTATAGAGCTAGTTAACATTTACATTCAAAACCAAATGAACAACAACTGGTGGGTGTCAGGTAAACAGCCAGTAATTTCAATATTCTAACTGTAGTGGATGCTGATTAATTTGCATTCTTCTCTTACACATGTTGCACATTATTAACTAACAAATATGCAAATAATTGTATGTTTTACCCTCCATATTACTGTCAGTAGTCAGGATTGTACCAAGGTCCTTATTATAATCTGAGCACTAAATCCAGTGATGTTTGATAAAATCCATATTATTTCACATCGAGTAAAGTAACAGATTAATAAGTTTTATAAATATTCTGTTATAATTCCTGTTAGCTGTCTATATAGATTGAGACATTTAAGAGTATAGACATCATATGTTACGTCTGGAGCTACTTCTCTGGGATTGCACCAGTTTACAAAGTGCAGCAACTAGTAGCAGCTGAGGACTAAGAAACTGTAGTCCAGAGATCTGAGGTTTTCATGGTGGCAAACACTTAGATTGTGATCATCTGGGTTATGACCTAATATATTCTTGTAGGTTGTTACCATTATTATGAATGAATATGGAGGCAGAAAGTTACTCCAAAATTTGCTAACCATGTAAAGGACTATAGGTGCCATAGCCCAGAAATCCACAGTCTAAAATACAGTAATTGGATTTGAGGTTCTCAACGTATTGACTATGAAGAGTGTAATTTTCTGGGTTTTAATGTGAAGCATTTCAACAGAAGGCCTCCAGTGTTTAAGAAGAACATGTCGCCACCATCTTCAGAGTCAAAACTAAGAGAAGCAAGAAACCAAAAGAAGCAGGCAGCAAGCAGTTCTCTGCTTGTAGCCTCACTGATTTCTTGCTTGGTTCCTGTTTAACTCTGAAGATGAATAATACACTCCACTCAAATGACAATGGAATTAGATTGAAGAACACTGCATCATAACCCAGATTACAGTCTTCTTAAATTATAGTACTCCTTAGGACATTTTGCACAGTATTATTAAAAAAAATCATATAGAATAATACTGTACAGCATTACATAGAATCTAGTGGCATATGAACTTTTCAGATAGTGGTTTGAAGATATTTGAGATGACAAAAGTAACTGAACAACCTGCTAGAATAACACCAGCATGCTAATTAATTTTACATGACTGACCCACCCTTTTAACTATATGTAATTGAGGTTTGTTCTTTATTAACTCCCCTTCTAAGTTAAGTTGTAAATAAACATTAAAATACATATGTATGAGTCTGAATCTATGAAGCCCATAAATTATGAAAATAGGAACTAAAATACTGTGGTAGTAAGCAATTAGGCAACTATGAAATGTAGCTGATAAAATTTAACAACAGTATTGATTATCCATCAGTTGCGTACTGAAGTCTTTAGAATAAATAAGTCAAGAAAATTAATTACCTGTTGTTATGGCAACACTTCAAAGCAATATTGGAACAAAGTAATGTCATGATATTAAATTAATCTTGTGCACATCAGGTACAGCTGCTGTCAACCAATTATATGTGTGATTTAGGAAATTTATGACATTAAACATATGTAAAAGATTAGTTTGGTTTGAAAAAATTCTGGAGCTTAGAGAGAGAATTTAAACTTATGTGAAGGGTACAGTTGAAATATGTACTAAAGGTAAAGTTGTCCTTGTGCTTAACTAATTAAGCACTATGCCATGAAGGAGTATGGAGGAGTGGATGTACAGATCCACATTTTCTTGACCTTGGTACTAACTGGAGGTGAGTGGTCAGCTTCATGCCCTCCCGTACCCGGAGTTTGGAAGGACCCCCAGAGCCGGTCTGGACAATATGGAGAAGAGAAAATTCTTTACCCTACTGGGATTCGAAATCTGACCCCTTGGTCGTCTAGTCCATAGCCAGTTGCTATGCCGACTATGCTATCCTGGCTAATAATAAAAGGAATAAACAAAAACTTGCTCTCATTTTGTGGTAAAAAACAATTAAACTGCTGCGACTCATGATATTTAACACTACCCAGGAAAAGGGCATAACATGGATGCCGCAAAATGAAAATAATGCGGAACGCAGAGTGTGTGTTCATTCTCAAACCAACACATTTTAGTGTGAATGTCAATATGCAATAGCATGGGTTGCACTGACATAATGACTGATGCAATGAGACAGTTTCAACTGACAAAAATTGCCTGAAGATGGCCTTGTAAGGCTGAAACATGTTGCAATTAAATGTGATTTTAATGATATTTTAAAATAATGGAGAGACTGAACGGTTTGTGGTGCATTAGAGACGGAAATGAGTGAACAAGTGATACATCAATGCAATAGGATGCTGCTCATATAATACTATATTTAATATAACATGTTCCTTCATATCAAGGCTATAAACTCCACAAAATGAATATGACATTGTTTCTCAGCTACTAGCCTGAAAATGTTTTTCTTTCTTTCTATTTTCTGCTTCCATTATCAAAATAAGATTTTTTCCATTTTCATAGTCACCACAAATACCTATATAATTCACTCATCTATAATTTACAGTATTTGAAGCATGATGCTCACTGTGATTTAATCTTCAATTACTGGTGGACCAGTACTGAAGTTTAAAATAACAACCACCACCACCACCACCACCACTAAAACAAATGGTAGCAAAACTTAAAACAAATCAGGATCCATAATCTGGGCTTTAGAAAGTATATAATAGAATATAAAAATTTATCATGCATCTATACATGAGTAACTTAAGATGTAATAAGACCGCCTCGGTGGTCTAGTGGTCAGAGTTCCTGGCTACAGACCCAGAGGTCCCTGGTTCGATTCTAGGAACTAACAGCTTTTCTGAGAAGTAGTGCGTCTGGAACTGGGTCCACTCAGTCTCGTGAGGATAGCTGAGGAGCTAATGCAAGGAAATAGCGGCTCCGGTCTAGAAAACTGAGATTAACCGCCGCGGGGTTCCGTTGCATTGGCCACGCGACACCCTCTATCCGCTAAAGTTGGCATTATCTTCGCCGAGAAGCGGCGGTCGCTCGGTCGGTATAGTTCGCTTGCGGTCTAAAGCGACTGAGTTTTTTTTAAGATGTAATAAATAAGTATCTCTATATTTAGAGAACTTCTGTTAACTCACCCCGAGTTCTCTGGTAGGTCTTTGTTACAATGTCCTCCATCTCCTGAATATGTTGTTCTGTGGAAACATAGTCTGCCTCAGAGAAATGAAAAATGTCCGTAATATTCAAGTTGTATACACTGGCTAGATCCTGCAAAAAAATTAAAACTGTATATTATGGTTCATGCATGGTGTCGACTTGTTAAACTGTAATATGTGTGTCAAAGAAGAACATGAAATAATAAAGCAATGGGGAATGCGAAGGTAAAGCAGCCTCTGTGCTTAATTAATAAAGCATCATGCCATGACAACATGTAGGGGAGTACATCACCACACATACTTAAACTCAGCAGTTAAAGGAAAGAGCCCTGGTGACCATTGGAGAGGAAGATGGGTGGGTCCCAAAGCCGGTCTAGAAATTGTGAATGGAAATATCTCTTGCCCCTGTCGAAAATCCAACCCCAATTCCTTGGACGTTTAGCCCGTAGCACGTCGCTATATCAACTGAGTCATCCCGACACCCTTTGGATTGATAACGTTACATAACTAACTATATGAAGTTGTTGCTCAGTTAGTAAAGAAATGACCAGAACTTAGGGATATCAAATATTGATCACCTCACTCACGAGAACCCACCGCTGGATCTTATTCTGAGCTAGATCATATCTACAGCCTCAAATTTTTTTTCTTTAAAATTCAAATTCATTTCAACCTACCACATACGAACACTCAGTCGGTAGAAGGAAGTGTTACTGACTAGACGACTAGAGTTCGATTTCCGGTAAAGGAAAGAGACTTTTCTCTCTCCACTGCTTCCAGATTGACTCTGGGACCTATCCAAACTTCTGTTTAATGGGTAGCGGGAGACTCTATCCACGCAGGTAAAAGGGCCAGTGCGTGAATCTGACCACTAACATCCATCTAGTGCCGAGGTCAAGAATGATAGATCTATACCTCTACTCCTTAATACATCTCGTGGCTTAGTGCTTAATTAATTAAGCACAAGAACAACTTTACCGTTTTACCACAGCTCCCACCTATATCTAGATATCTCATGTGGTTTCTTCCATCCACGATTTCCAATTAACATTTTGAAGGAAGTTCTCCTTTCTCCTTTGTATACTACATTACAAGGATTTAATACCACTTAACGAAGTTTACTTAGTGCTATGGGCCACACTTTCAGAACATAGAATGATCAACACTCTTCCATTTCAGCCGCTCACATCAAATGTACTTTGGCCGCGCCATCGCTCAAGCGGTTAGTCGCTGGCTTCCCATCGCGGCGGCCCGGGTTCGATCCCGGATCTCGTCAAATGGGATTTGTGATGGACAAAGTAGCGCTGAGGCAGGTTTTCTCCGAGTACTTCAGTTACCCCTGCCAATCTTCATTCCACCAATTGCTCCACAATCACCCTCACCTATCATCTGGGGCTGGAACAATAGGCCAGAAGCAATTGAAAAAAAAAGTTCACTTTTCTCCGAACTTGAAATTCTCCACCGCTCCTCTCAATCATCTTCGCCTCCTAATTTTAGAAACGTCTACACAGAACTGAAACTAAGTACACCAAATTATTCGCAAGACAAACACAGCTTCCTCTTACAAATGTCGGAAGGTGAACAGTGGTTGATTTGGTCTGAATGAGATGATCAGAGCAACACAACCTGAACGCTGTGGCATTCGGAAACAAATTGGAAGGTGGAGTCGCCATTTTCTTTCACTTCGTGGCGCAGATATTCGACTGTTTCCAGGCAAACGATGGCTTTACGTGCCAGTTCCGCATAAACGAGGATAAATTTCAAATTCATCTACACGAATTCATATATAAAAGGATAAAGTAAAGCTTTCCCTATATGAAGACATATTGGGGAATGTAGGTATAGCTGCACTATTCTTGACCTCATCACTAGATGGAAGTGAATGGTCAGCTTCACACCGCGGCCGCTTTACCCTCGGGGGATGGGCCCCCAGTAGCCATTGAATAGGAGGCTGGGTAGGAACCTGAGGTGGTTTGGACGTTGTGTAGAGGAGAAATATTTCGAATCCCGACCATCCAATTCGTAGTCCGTTTCTATACCGACTGAGCTATCCCGACTCGCAATATTCATACATAAATTAACATTTTCGGTAGTAATTTAATTAATATACTTCATCGAAACGGTTCTTCGAAAAAAAATATATTTTGCATGTTCCATAAACATTTCAGCGTGCCGTTTGTGGCACGCGTGTCAGTAGTTCATTCTTCGCTGTTCCCATGCTATATTAAACAATATTAACATGCCTGCAGACTGTAAAATATGTACTTGAATTAAAGTGAGATTTTAAATTTTAGCTATTTCTCACCTTGATGGCTTCCTGCACTTCGCCGCCCCAAGCTGGACGTTTCCCCGCTACTATAATGAACTTGGTCCACTTGAAGTACAACAGCAGCGCTACTACAGATTTCGAAACTTTGGACGAAGGAGGCAGAGTCCGAGCGAATGTGTAGTAGACTCTCTTGTCGGATACGTGGATGTCCGCGCACTTCTGCAAGTATCAGACGGGACACTGTCACATGATCGCTGGAGTCACATGGGGTAATCCCCGTAAACAAAACTCTATGTCAAGGGAAAACCCTCTCATCTACTGAAGTTTGTGGTACTTAAAGCTTCGCTCCAAATAAGCAGCTATAATGTTAAAATATGAAGCAAGAAAAATAGTTCTAGATTCGCCTGTTTAAGTAACTCCATGAAACATTTCCTTCTTCATCCTGAGAAATCAATATGAACTTGAGAAATTACACGTTTTTTGACACAACAAGGTTCATTGCTGTGTTAAGAGGAGTCCGCCATTAATCCCTGTCATCACTCAGTCATGGAGCTAAGCTTTACTCAAGAATTTGAGAGCATTTTATGGAACCCGAAAGTTCATTGCAGTGTTCACAAGAGCCCTCCAGCGGTCCCTACCCTGAGTCAGATCAATTCAATACATACCATCAAATCCTATTTCTCTGAGATCCATTTTAATATTGTCTATCCACCTACGCCTTGGTCTTCCTACTGGCCTCGTTCCTTCCGGCTTTCCCATCAATATGCATTTCTCTCCTCCCTATTCGTGTTACATGTTTTGCCCATCTCATTCTCCTTGACTTGAGCATTCTAATTATACTTGGGGAACAGTACAAGATATGAACTTCCTCGTTATGCAGATTTCTCCAAACTTCAATCCCTGTCATGTGATATATAAGTATCAATCCAATCCATATTCTCATATTCTAGTTCTGCAAAATAAAATTCAATATTATCTTCCCACTGTCGTTCACATCTCTCATGTGATCTCTTCCCTTCAGGTTTCCTTATTAAAATTCTCTACGCCCTTGTCATGGGTCTTATACGTGTTAGATGCATCGCCTTTCATTTAATTATCCTAATAATACATAACGAAGAGAACACGTCATAAAACTCCTCATAATGCGGTCTTTTCCAACCACTTTTTATTATTTATTGTTAGTGGGGTGGGACTAAGTCCCTTGTACTGTGGCCATTTCTGGACTATTGTACCAGCCCCACATGATAGGTGAGGGTGATTGTGGAGCAATTGGTGGAATGAAGATTGGCAGGGGAAACCGAAGTACTCGGAGGAAAACTGCCCCAGCGCCACTCTGTCCACCACAAATTCCACTTGACGAGACCCTAGATCGAACCCGGGCAGCCGCGGTGGGAAGCCTGCGACTAACCGCTTGAGATATGGTGCGGCCTATTTCTACGAAGTAAACAAACATCTTCCAGGCAACATGGTAGGCTCTTCATCGTGCATCACAGACTTTACCAGTGTTACCAACACAATCTGTTCATTGTTCGTTTCACCCCCTCGGCCAATAATGATGAGATAATTGCTTACATATACACACTCTAACGTACAGAGTTATAGACTTAACAGCAGATAGAGGGTAGAAGAGAAATTTACATAGTGCAGCCATATGAAAGCACTGTCCTACTTCCTAGTGACGGCGAGGACAGTACGTGACGCAGATGATGACAACCTCATTACCAAAAATCTTAGATGCTCTTCACTATCCAGGATAATCTACACTGCTGCTCGTATTATGGACTTCACATGACGGCTTGTGTCTCACTTTTCAGTCTCTTCCATTTTTGTAAACGAATAACAAAGCCTACCACGCTCTCTATATGAGTCAGAATGTTTTCCCAACTTTTGAACGCACTGACAGATTCTCATGAAATATAACATGCACGTTACATCTCTATATGTCATGAAAACCATATGATTTCAGAAGGAAAGAGACCACTAGGAAGACGCAGACGTAGGTGGAAGGATAATATTAAAATGGATCTGAGAGAGATTGGAGTCGATGATATGGACTGGATTGATCTGGCTCAGGATAAGTAATAGTGAAAGGCTCGTGAATATGATAATGAACCTTGGGGTTCCATAGGCTGATTGGGCCTACAGAGAGGCAGGAAATACTCCGAGACAGAAGGGAACGAAATAACAAGGAGGTCCATTATTAGGATGAGCAAATGAAGGCTGATCACATGACTAGGCATAGAAATTTGCAGAGGAATAGAATTTTAGTCGGAAAACCTTGAGAGAAGAGACCACTTTAAAACCTAGACGTACACGGAAGAATAGTAGCAAAATGATTCTTAAAGAAATACATCGGATTGAATTCGATTGACTCGGGATAGTGTTTCTTAGAGGACTCGTGAATGCGATAATGAAACTTCGGGTTCCATAAAAGGCGGGACATCCTGTGAAAAACAATCACCTTCTGAAGGTGGATGTTCCTCTGTGCTGTTATTTATAAGCTTCCTAAAAGCTTTCTAAAAAGAAACAATTTTATTTTAACATGGAACTCAATTGACTAACAGTAAACACTAAATGCTGAGGGTAGTTTTGCTTTATTTAATGGCCTTTGGCAACGAATGATCTCAAGGGATATTCACGCTTGTGATTTTTAAAATGACCATATGAAGAGGGCTGTGTGTGTGCGCGCGCGCCAGGAGGGGCAGAATAAACCTATATCAAATGAAACGCAATAAAACGAATCGGTGTTTATGCACCCCCTGAAATGAATTACATCCCTAACAAATGCAAGACGTGTTACATCTGTACCAGCTGATTCGGCGAAGTGGTGAGTGAGAAGGTAA